AACCATGTATAAGGTGGTTTCAATGTGTTTCGACCTATTTTTAGCCATCATCAATGTGTTTTCGAAATTCTAAAGGAAAAATGCCATCAGTTCCACTTGTTTCTGATCATTTAGTGTTAAACATTGAGGGACTATATAGTTATTCAATACCGAGAAGTGGAAAAAAATAATTTCACCATATTATTCAATGCAGCGCTTCAAATTAATTATGAATTCTTACACGAATTACTTTAACAACTTAATTTTGGCAATACCAACAGAAACATTCATAACAATTGTTCAAAATGATGACCATTATTCTCTAAATAAAGATATCCTCTTCTCACAGTTGCTTCTAAGACATTACTGAGCAACTTTATCTTGGACACACTGTATATCGATATATCGATATTTATCGATATTTATCGATATATCGATATATCGATATTTATCGATATATCGATATATCGATATTTATCGATATTTATCGATATTTATCGATATATCGATATTTATCGATATTTATCGATATTTATCGATATTTATCGATATTTATCGATATTTATCGATATTTATCGATTTATCGATATATCGATATTTAAAAACTTAAATATCGTTATTCGATATATCGATATATCGATATATTTATCGATATATCGATATTTTTTCTCAGCCCTACTTCACACTACATTTTGTGTTAGTAGCAGTGTGCCCTCTTACTTACCTCCTATTTTATCCTTTGTAATATAGTATCACAACCCTGGGTCGCCGTAAAAAAATGTATTTCTGTATCGAAAAAATTTCCTTTCCCAGAACTATAATTGATATAATCATAACTGATATTGATAATTCCATGACATCACACTGCGGTTTACAGTTTTGATTGATATTCCTGTGATTATAACCTAATCGTAATATCCCATTGTATTTATTCAGTAATTTAATAATTATTATTATAGTAGATATAACTATGAAATTCGTAGCTGACTCTGAACTATTGAGGTAAAGCTCAAGGATTTTCTGTGGTTATTCGCAAAAATCACGAACCGAGAGAAAAAAATCGAATTCGCAGGTGAAGGTAAACATAAAACGTTCCATTTTAAATCCGTATTAGAGGATGGGTATTTTGATCATTCATGGAAGGCAAACAAAATATTTCACCATGTTTTATCAGTTTATGTTGTTATCAAAATGATTTCAATCACTAATCTCACCACATCTCAGCAGAATTATCAAAGTATTGTTTTTTCATTATTTCCTCACTATCTTTCTCACTATATTTTGAATATTGATAACTGATTCAATATTAATCTTATTGTTTCTGAAGTTTCTACATTTGCCATGGATTTCCATCAAGTAACGGCCGAGTCAATTCAAAGAAAGATAACTGATTTGTTGAAAGTTGTTCACATATCTCAAAAATTTAACATTGAAATATATTATTTAAAAATATATAAGGAAATATGAAAGAGGTGCAAGAAATGATTATACGCCCCTACCCATATGATTTCAAGATATACATTCATCAACAATCTCATTTGATGAATGAATATGCAACATCAATAATACAGATATAATTATTCATTATTCGAAACATTATAACAAAGTGATCAAAATCATCAATTTGAGGACTGCCAATATCTTCTCTGAACATATAAAATCACAACCACTGCTTCAATTAGGCGAGTTTACAATTTAAACCCATTTTAATCTACAATCATGTCTGTCTTGTACCAGCTAGGGTTTCATGTACTTGACACTTTTATTTCGACATATTTGTTTATTTTTATAGTACGGACTCTCGACAAGCAGTGACAGTAAGACATAACCATAAATGATTCTGATGCAGATTATATGTTTAGCTAAACAAGGACATGTTTCCTTAGGCATCTCGCATCTTCTCAAATAACTATGATTATATGTCTATCAGAGTCATGGCTTAATGCTTCAATGATAATGAACTCTGTGATGGAAGATACCAAATTGTGCGTGGAGGCGGTGTATTGTGCTGTGTCGAAGTACGAAAAAGTACAGACATTGATTTTCAGTGGCTATGTGTGACATGCAAATTGTATGACACAACAATAACAATTTGTTGTCTCTACATCAAGTCAGGAGCAAACCTTACAGTGAATGAAAAGATGCCTAACAATCTAGAAACCTGCAATGAGTTCTTTTCAAATAATGTTTTTTTGTATAGGTGATTTCAATGTTTCTGAAATCAGTGGCACTCTATATGATCTTGAAGTAGGGTCCTCGAAGGCTGGAATTATCATAAACATCAGATGCAAATATGATCTATATTCATTAAACGATATACCTTATCATGTAAACAATACTTTGGACCTAGTATTAGCAGGACTGACGGAAGCAACGGTCACGTTATCTAATTCTCATCTGGTAAATATTGACCAATATCATCCACCCTTAGAAATCAACTTCAAAATAAGTTGTAAAAAAGAACGAGGCTCTCTAGCTACTGATAACTCTATTCAAACTTATGACTACAGAAAAGGTGACTACCATAGGTTATACCATATGCTAGGTCAGTGTAATTGGGAAAACATCATCAATTCAAATGATCCAAATGAATGCACCACTCAATTCTATAACACTCTATATAAGATTCTGGATACATGTATTCCACATAAAAAATAATACAGGAACAAATATCCACATTGGTACTCCAAAGAGCTCATCCAAAAAATAAAACAGAAGAAACGCCTATGCAAAAATTCAAAACATACTCCAGTTTATCTGCAAAGATTCAGAGAATTGAGAAGTGAGACCAAGGTAATTATTAAAACATGTCATGATAATCATATGAAAACTATTGAGGAACAAATCAATAGCGATCCAAAATACTATTGCAATTATCTGAAAAATAAAAATAAGAGAAGTAACTCATCTATCGCCAATAGATTTGTGTACAAGGATGAGATATTGAAATCTGACGAAGATATCTCCAATGTTTTTGCACAATGCTTCAAATGTGTCTACAGTGAAAGCATATCTATCCCCTGGGACACTGAATACAAAGACTATGGTCTCAATAGTATGCAAATAAAAAACATCAAGATATCTGATATTCTTGGAGCCATTCAATCATTGAATTCTAAAGTTGCAATGGGTGTAGATGGAATACCGATGTACTTTTTCAAAGCATATGCTTGTTTTTTTGCACCATCTTTGCAAATGATCTTCATTACATCATTGGAATCTGATCAATTTCCTGTAAGTTTCAAAGTTGGACGTATAATTGCTATCCAAAAATCTGGTAAAACCAATCGAATAACAAACTATAGGCCAATCACTATCCTGCCTTCACCCTCAAAAATTCTTGAGAAATCTTTGTATACAAAAATAAACAGTCAGGTATCTGAAGTACTATTAGAGGAACAACATGGGTTCATTGTAAAAAATCAACCTCAATCTTTGTGTATTCAGTGAGTACATTTCCAAAGAAATAACCAACTGTCAAATTGATACCATTTACACCGACCTGGCCAAAAGCCTTCGATAAGGTGAATCATAGAGTGTTGCTGAATAAGTTGTTGACATCATTCTCTTTCGATGAAAGTCTGGTGGAATTCATAAAATCATACCTATCAAATCGATCAAACTTCATCACTTGATGATATAAAAATATGTCAAGGTATTATCAATGAAATCACTAAGTATTGTGATGATAATGATACTAAAGATGATGATCAGGTAGAGCATTTGTTTGTCTCTTTAAATATTGGAAAAATAAAATATATAGTTGTTGCCGTTTATATTCCACCAGGATCAGATGTTAATGTATACTCTGAACACTCTCATGTTGTGGAAAATTTATGTGCGTCCTACCCAGGACATCTCTAGATCCAACTCTCCACTTACATTTGATTATAAAATAAAAGATGAATCGTTGCTTCGCGTCGCTGAAATCAAAGACTTTGGCATTTTGATTGATAATAAAATGACCTTTAAACAACATATTTTGAAAGTAGCTACTATTGGCTATAGAAATCTTGGATTTGTTATGAGAAACACAAAGGATATGTCAGTTAATAGTTCAAAATTATTATACTGTGCACTTGTTAGGTCAGGCTTAGAATATGCTTCTGTGATATGGTGTCCATACTACAGTGTTGATATCGGGACAATTGAAGGAATACAGAGAAAATTCCTCAGGCATTATGCATTCAGACTGGGAATGAATTGGAATCATGATTATGACAACATTCAAAATAGCACACATTTGGAAACTTTAGAAAAACGTAGGTTCAACACAGACTTGCTCTTTTTATATAAATTGTTAAATGGTATCATTGACTGTCCCGAACTTGTATCCGAAATTCAGCTAAGTACGAACAGTAGGACTAGAAACAAAGCACTATTTTACATTAACCATCATTCCACAAATTATGGCATGCATAGCCCTCTCTCAAGGATAACATGGGAATACAATAATAATTGTATACATTTCGACATTTTCAGTAATTCGTTTCAGTTATTCAAGAAGTCATTGATTACCATTAATAGTACCCCTTTATAAGCAGCTGTGTTTGATTACTGTGATATAGATTCATAATGATCTAGGATATATAGCAACTGTGAGTGATAACTGTGATAGATTCATACTGATTTAGGATATTCTCTTGTTATTTATGTTTATTTGTATTTCTTGAATATTTACATAGGTATATATTTTATATCTATATTTTTTCCCATCTTGTAATAATATTTGTGATTATAATGTATGCAATGGATAACCGTGGTCGAAGTGTTCCGTGCAAATTTTAGAACAGTTTATATGTCATTTTGCCTGAACTTTCTGAATCTGATAGAATTTTTATATATTTTCATCAACTCGCCTTGACTTCCTCTATCAACCATTTGGCTATGTGGCAAGGAACTTAGAACATGAAAGTATTAATCTTCTTATTCGAAATAGATGAATTTTCCTATGGTCTGTCTGATTCCTTTCCTGTCACGAAATTATTATACCTACTAAATAAATCTCCTTTTGTTTTCAGTTCATAAGAATGGACATAGAAAAAACCACGAGTCACAACCTGAAATGCTCCGTCTGTAAGAACTATTTGAACGTCGCACCAGTGTTGACTTCTGAAGATGGAAAAATAAATAAATGTGGAAGATGCCAACTCAAGGGGCCAGTGCTCAACAATCGAAACTCTCTGTATGAATCCATAGGAGCAAAGCTCAGGTTCCCCTGCAAGAATGAAGAATGCACGGATCGGATGTCCTGGGCTGAAGTACAGAGACACGAAAAGTCATGCAAGCACAGGAAAATCGAATGCCCGTTTTGGAATTGCAGAGAAAAAGACATCAAGTTCGTCATTTTGAATGACATTAGCCATTTTGAAACCAACCATCCCGGGTCCATCCATTCTGGTGATAATATGACTCTTAACTTGAAAGTGATCACCCATCATCAGTCGTTCATGAAGCTGTTAGTAGTAGACACCATTCCGTTTTTGATGTTGATACACTGTTTGAAATTCGGAGAATCACTTCTCATAGGACTATTCAATTTCAATAACAAGTTATATGATTATCAACTCAAAATATACTCCGACAAGAACTCCAAGAGACACTCAGTATTCAAAGAAAACGTTTTGTTATATGACGAAGACCAGCATTGCTTGTATTGTCTACAAAATCTTTGTGTGATGCAAAACCACGTGTTTTCTAAAAGAAATCCAAGTAGTAATCAGAACGAAAAGTACAAGTTTTATTCCAATATTGATGTAGGTGCTACGAAAACTACTTTACAAACTGAAAATTTGATGATTGATGTAAGCATAATCGAACATCAAGAACAAAATGGAGAAAAATGATATATACCTAATATTTATTAATAAAAAATTCAAAACATAATTCATGTGTCACATGAGGAATTTCAGATTTATTCAATTAGCTGGAATATAATGAAACAAAAAAGTAAAAAGATGCTATCACAGCGACGCCAGACAAAATATTAATCAATCCTCTTCGGCCTCCTATATAAAATATACAAGGTGACCCATGAGTTTTTGAATATTGATGATCTCGAAAACTATTTGAATTACCTACAACTCATCACCAATAGACAACTCCAAAAATATATAAACAGCCCTTATACACTACGAGGGATACCTACAGTCAGATGGGAGAAAAATTGCGCGGGTGAAGGACCAACAAAATGAGTTTGAAAAATCTCTGATATGACTTTTCGTTTTTGAGTTATTTCCAAAAAACTGAATTTTTGAATTTTCGATTTAATTTTTTTTTCTGTCGTAAATAATGAAGTTAACAAAAATTACATGATGATGGCCAAAAAGAGATATGCTCGAAACGCTTCAAAACCCCACGGTAAGTCTTGCCTGTCGTAGAAGGTGCGATACCAACATATCAGCCATAGGCACTGTGAAGTAGGTATACTCACCCATGTTCGTGGTTGTGTAGCTGGTTGATGATTCCAGCTAACTCAACCCAATCCAGTTTCCTTCTCCTTCCATGCCAACCTCCCTTTTCAAATATCAAAAAGCGATGATGAGTTCTCCTCGAGTAAAATTATCCGGAGGTAAAATACCTCTCCAGTCATATTTCCGGGCGAAAGGTGCTAGAGGGGGTTCACCATCGGCTGAAAAAGTCCTCAAGATAGACCGTGGTCTAATTAAAAACATCAACGATGTCCATCGACACCTTCAGACTGAATAACCAGACATATTGGCCCTGACTGAAACACAGGTAAATTCATCCATCAACACTACCTATTCGCTCTGTCCTGAGTACGAACTCCACATACGTTACAGATTCAAGGAAGGCCTCTGCCTTCATTCTGAAACGAATCTCTCATGTCATCGAGAAGAAACATTTGAACCAAATGAGTTTGATGTTATGTATTTCAAACTCGATAGCCAGCAACAGACCAAATATATTTGTTGTCTCTAATCATCACCAAATGATCCATCCTTTGAAGAACTCTTCGAATTCTTGTCCTTGAAGCTCGACCTAATTCATCATGGGCGATTTCAATGTACATCACAACACTGCTTGGCTCGTACAATCCAACAAAACGGATGATGCTGGGCGACAAGCCGAAGCTTTTGACATCACTCACGGCTAAGAGCAGCTTATCAAGGAAACTACACGAATTTCTGATATCAACAATCATTCAGCAATCACTAGACTTATTCCTCACTAATAATTCAGCACCTTACACCATAGATGTACGAACTATACTTGGCAATTCTGATCACACATCTCCACAACCTGCCCATTCTTTATTCCATCAACTCCAGCACCTCCACGTCTTGTATGGCATTATAACTCAGGAGACTGGGACGGTCTCCGCATGATTTTCTTCAAGTTTCCTTGGCATAGAATAAGCTTTGATTCTGAGGATCCTTCACAGTGTGCCGCGGAAATATCCGAGATCAGCACGCTTGGAATGTACACGTACATACCTAATTCTTTGAAAAAATCATCAGCTTCGGAACCCTGGTTCAACAAGAACTGTTCTAGGGTTGTTGCCTTGAAACAAACAGCCTGCCATAGCTGGCTCAAGGACCCCAACGTCGCGACTAGAGCAGAATATGATGATGCAAGGAATAATTGCAGCCAAATAATAGATGCATCTAAAGATTCATACAATTTCAGGATGAGATGAAAACTCATAGATCGTCCCTATTGCTCCCGTTCGATTTGCTCCTTCGCTGAAGCAGTCGGAAGGAATTTCACTGATAGTTCATATCCACCACTGTCCAAAGCCGACAGCACAATAGCAACAACATCGCAGAAAAAAAGCGAACCGTTATGCTGAGATGTTCGCAGCAAACTCCACCTTGGATTCTCAGGGAAGAATGACGCCAGACATTCCACCCGTTGAAAGTCAATGCCCGAAACTGTCTTTCGTCAATGCACTATCAGACGCATTCTGCTCGGTCTGAAAACGAATAAGTCCAATGGTCCTGATGGAATTCCACCCACTATTCTCAGAAAGTATGCACCATAATTGGCACCAATTCTGAGTTACCTAAGTTATTTACCATCTCCTACGGGTCGGGTAATTTTCCATCTTGCTGAAAAATAGCTAGAGTCCAACCAATCCCCAAAAAAGAAAACAAGAGCCTGCCCAACAACTATAGGCTACTTGCCCTGTTATCAGTCATCTCCAAAGTGATGGATAAAGTCTTCAACATTAAGCTCATCCAATATCTGGTAAGTTCAAGAATTATTAATGATAGACAATATGGATTTCGCCACCGAAGATCAACTAGAGATTAACTTACCTACATCACCCATACATGGAAAGCTTCATTAGAAAAACATGAGGAATCTCTAGTTGTAGCGTTAGATTAGGCACCAAGGACTGCTCTATAAACTACCATTATAAGGCTTAACACCTCAGCTATGCCATCTTTTATCGAGTTTTCTTCAAGGCGGAACTCAGTGTGCCTGATATAACAATGCCTGGTACCACCATCCCCACCAAATCCACTATATCTATGCTCGGTATTTCCATCAGCAGTATTCTTTCATAATCATGTCAGAGCCATCGCCAAAGCTGCTTTACAGAAACTCGGTTTCTTGTTCCGCCCGAAAATCTACTTCACACCTCAACAGCTTCTGATGGCACAGGCCAGTTTCAGAAAACTGTTTTCATATATGGGGTTCCGCAACCAAACATATAATGATGCTCTCAGATTCCATCCAGAAAAGAGACATTCGCCTGGTGGGTCATGCCACACTCGCTAACTCTTTGACCCCATTAAAACACCGTAGGAAAGTCGGCGACCTTTCACTTTCCATAGGTAGAACAGCGAAGCTTCGGAATTCTTCGCCAATAGAAGTATTCTTGAGGACTTATAACCCCCAATAGTTCAAAAAAAATCCAACACCTACCTCCTCTCCCTATCCTCCCTAGGTACGCACGATGTTCCACGAACATTATAGGAATTTCCTTTCGTGCGCTCCGAGATAAAAAAAAATTACGTCGAGATCAGAATGGAAAGGGCAAATCTGTTTCTCTCGTAATTTCCGAGATGCCCATACTGGCCCTCCTTATCTTGGGCACAGTATACAGGGCGTCCCTAAAAGGTATTTACAAAAACTTGCCACATATTCCTCAGACCAGAACAATTCGATACAAGCAAAGTTAGTTCAGTACGAAGTTCGTTTGGGCGTTAGATGGCTCTGAAGTTACAATTTTCAAATCGTTTTTGCTTCATATCTTTGAAACGTCTCATGAGATTTTACTTAAATTCGGTACGTTGGCAAAGCTTCATTGGGCAATAAAACCCATATCATGATTATGATGAATTCATGGGCGTAGAACTCCATTCGTTTCAGTAAATAAACATCTAAAACTACGGCAATGGAAAAAAATCGTACTCTTGATAAAATTCGATTATTCTCATGGTTTCGAAAAAATTTGAATTTTAGTAATTCAAAGCATCTGTTAACATTGAAACGACCAATAGGTATGTCAAGAGAATTGTTGGTCATTTTCGCGTATACGAAGATTTATACGGCGGAAAAAAATTATACAAGCAAATACACCCCCTACATAATTGCTGTCAGAACGGCTCTGGCTTGCTCAGTGCAAAAAAAACAAGAAATAGCTCAAGGCACATTTCGATTTCTTCCGTCGTATAAATCTTTTTATACGTGGAACTAATGAAAATTTTCAACAATTTTCGAGAAATATCTGTTATTCGTTTTAGTGTTGACTGATGCTTTGAATTATTAAAATTCAAATTTTGTCGAAATCATGAGAAATCGAATTTTATCAAGGGTACATTTTTTGCAGCAATCCAGAATTTCTTATTCAAACCTCTTTCTTTCCATTGGCGTAGAAGTTTCAGATGTGAATTTACTGAAAAAATCAAGTTCTACGCACATGGAATGATATTTGTTAATTTCACCTACTAGGTTTCATTGCCCAATGGAACTATGCAAACGAACCAAATTTGAGTGAGATCTCATTCGCCGTCTCAAAGTTATGAATCAAAAACGATTTGAAAATTGTAACTTCAGGCCCGCCCAAACTGAGCAACTTTGTACTGAGGTAACTTTGCTTGTATCGGATTGTTTTGGTCTGAGGTATATGTGGTAAGTTTTTATAAATACCTTTCAGGGACAACCCTGAATATTACTGAAACTTTAGTTGATGGTCTAATTGGTGACTACCTACGAATGGAGAGAACTGAGCCGATTTCTTTGGAAATGAAGCCATAATCAAGGCACCAAATAGATTACGTACTCCGTATTCGTACTGCCCAATGCGTCCGTACGCACGACTGTGAATGGTCTACACAGTAATCTCATTATTTCATAATATGTCATACCACAAGTGATAATATTTTGCCGGAAATATTCGGCGATTGTTACGATAGCTTGTTGCCTAATAATTTCGCTAATGACATTGTGTATCAAAACTTTCTAGCCGTTAGCGAGAAGTTTTGGAACAATGTCATGAGCGAGATTTAATCAGCAAGCTGGAGTATGTCAATCTACGGATATTTACAAGAAAAATGGTATCACGAGTTATTTTCGTATGACTATTTCATGACTGAAACAATAAACGAGCGCCTCGCGAGAGTTGCGAACCCTGCATCCATCATTCTGGATTCCAATATAATCGACGTTTTCAATGTCAAAAATTATCGCGATAAATCGAAGTTGGTTGGTCTGATAATTTTTAGTAAACAGAAAATATCGCTGTATTACAGAAATGGTCGATTCTGATAGGTTCTCGAGAACAAGAGTGGAATAGTCCGAAAATATTTCTTTTGGATAATAACTGATTGTCTAATTGTTTGAAAAGCTTTATTGCTATATAAGATGATGAAAGCGAATTTAGCAAATGTCTATTTTTTCTCATATAACAACGAAAACACCAAGATCTCAATGAAGGACCTA